AAAAAAAAAAAAAAAAAAAAAAATCCCAGCAGAGAGAGAACAGATGAGAAAGGACTTTAGGGAAGCAGGAAATATAAAAACAATTTAAACCTACAGTGTAGATAGTAAACAACAAAATCAGTCTGCAGAAACGGAGTTGGTGAGATGAAGGACAACTCTGAATAGATGAATAAGAAATACACAATAAAGACAACAGGAAACCAATTCCAGTTAATAGCTTGTTTAGTACCATGGGACTGAAGCAGTACTCAAAGATATAATAGAAGAAAAAAATGTTCAGCAGGCAGAGAACCTATTTGCAAATTTAAACTGCTCATCACATGTCAGGTAGAGTCACTTTAAAGAGATCTTTACCTGAGTAAATCTTAGCGATTTTTAAAACTAAAGTAAAATACTGTCCAGGTATAAAAAAATTAAGTCTCTGTAGATGAATGCAAGATGGACTTCCTTACACTTCTTTGCATGCTAAAAGAAGAAAATAGATATGTTTTGAAGGGCTTTAATCTAACAATTTTATATCTGAATTGTGTTTCATATATATAAAAAAAGCAAGGCCCCAGAAGCATACTGTTTCTCTTATGTGCCCATCTTCAAAAAAGTATTTGAATATATACTCCAGTGGACTAAGTGGTAGAGCATATTCAAGGGCCCATTATAAGGAATTCATTGTTTTAAGCAGATTTGTAACTGTTAAAGTAAATAAACTAGAAGTTTAAAACATTACAAATCTAATTATAAAATTGAGTGCCTAAGACAAAGATTGTCCTAAAATATGAGAAAGTGAGTTTTTTTTTAAAATAAGGAAAGAATGGGTGAGGGTAACAGTGAACTAGGCTAAACTAGTTCTGTCGATAGTGGCCTCAAACTAGGAAGATCAGCATCTTCTAGAAGCTGATTAGCAGTGTGAATGTTAGGCCCTAACCCAGACTTAATGGGATCTGAATCTGTGAGGTAGAGCCCTGTGATACAGATTTCCAAGATGATTTTTGCACAGCCAAAAATTTGAGAAGCACTGAGTTAAACTACCTTTCTCAATGATAACAGGCTTGAAATTATCATTTTCCACTTGCCTAATAATAGCTAGAGAAATATATACTAGGTAAAATAGCAGTGAACTGGGCTTGATGGTGGAGGCTGAATGTGGAAGATTATGAGTTTGAGGCCATCTTGGCCTACAAAATGAGTTTAAGTCAGGTCTGCCCTAAGCTACCTAGCAAGTCCCTGATTTAAAACACACACACAAACACAGACTCACACACACACACACACACACACACACACACACTCCCCAACAACAACAAAAACCCAGCCAATATTGGAAAACAGCGAAATATTGGAGATGCTATAATGAGAAAGCAGAGGGTTCATATACTAAACAACGGAAAACTAGTGGAACAAGCCAGATAGAGTAGAACAGGAGGGATGGGGAGAGCAGTGGTAAAATACTTCTCTAACGTGTGAGGCTCCGAGTTTAATCTGGGGGAAGAATTTTAAAGTAAGTATAGGTTAAGCATGCCTTATCTGAAATACTTGGAACTAGAAGTATTTAAGATCTTGGATTTTTTTTTTTTCTTCAGATTTTGGGATATCTGCATAGAGATAAAATAGCCTGAAGGAAATTATATGCAATTTTTAAAAACAATTTTGTACATAAATGATTGTGGAGTGGAATTTTCCACTTATGCCATCTTGTAATTGCTCAGAAAGCTTCAAATTTGAGAGCATTTTGGATTTCAGATTTTTGGATTAGAGATGCTCAACTTGTAAAACTAATCAATTATAGTAATAAAAACAAATGGCAAGGGCTAGGGATTTAGCTAAGTGGTGCCACTGCCTGCCTTGCAACCATAAGGTCCTGAGTTTGATCCCCAGTAACAAAAAAAAAAGAAAAAGTCAAAACAAATGGCATAATCTCCTTTTTGGAAGATAAAATTTTGTCAGGTTAATTTAGAATAATCCAATTTGTAATGGTTTATTAGAGACATACCTAGTGAATCCCTTATCTTTTATACTGAGCTTGTGCTGGTTTTTCCCAGGGAACTCTTTCTTACTTCCTTAAAGAGATTAAAGACTCTGTCATGAGTTTTCATAGCACTGTATTTGTAACCTGTCAGTGCAGTTTTAAATGTCTGAGGCACAGTAGGTAGCACATGCTTATAATCCCAACACTCTGGGGGGTTGAGGCTGGAAGATAGAAAGTTTGAGCCTAGCCTAGGCAATCTAGCAAGATCCTGTCTCAAAATTGGAATGAATGAATGGGGCTTTGGATGTAGCTCAGTGTAAAAGCCCTGTGTTCAATCCCCTGTATTACAAAAATAAACTTGTCTGGGTGATGATTCAATTTTTCTTTCTCCTTGATCAGACCATAATCTCCTTGAAGACAGGAATTGTGGTTGATTTGCTCAGCATTTTCTACCTGCATTCAGCACCTTGCTCTTCAATGAATGAAAATACAAGAAAATGTAGGAATGTGTCTGTAGGCACAAGCAAACAAATAGAAAGCAGGATCTGGCAAACTACCAAGAAATTAATGGTATCAATGCCAGACAAACTAATAAAACTGTAATTAAACGTCAGAACACTGGTTGTTAAGTTTTCCCATGCTTCAGAATTTTCTTGTTAAAACACAAATTGCTGGGCCCTACCCCTAGAATTTTTCTTTCTGTAGGTCTTGGGCAAGTCCAAATAATTTGCATTTCTCACTGGTTCCCAGGAAGGCTTGAGGCTGCTGCTATACTTTGAGAAGCACTGTATTAGAAAATAGTTTCCTGTTCAGAGTTCATGAAGATTTTGTTCTCAAGAGTGTCAATGCAACAAACAACATTGTATCTAAACATACAAAGTAAATACAGAGATACTACCAAGTAAAAGGATTTATCACATTCAGTCTTTGCCAGGGCAAGTAGACAACGATACAGGTCTTGAATAATACAATTATTATAGTTGATTGAGCAGTTTTGAAGCTTATATATAGTAGATAACATATGTCCTTTCCAGATTTCATGATTCAGCTACAATAATTATTTACCTACCAAAGAATCTGAAGTGCTTATATTGGGAAAGGAAAACTATTGAACAACTAAGAAACAAATTAAGAAAAAAATGCTTGTAACATACATAACAAAATGTTGCTACCCTTCATCTACAAAAAAATTAGTAATTTTTAAAGGAAAATTGTAAAAGAAAAGCTAGTTAATTAAACAGGAAATAGTTTCCTTAGAAATCAAAGAAATGGAAAAATTCAGCAGTACAGTATAGTTCATCAAATTTGCAAAATAGAGAGAGATAATATTGCTTAATGTTGGCAGCAGTGAATGGAAACAATCATTTTCACACCTCTCTGATTGGACAAGTGATGCTGTGGTTATCAAAAGCTTTAACAGTGCATACTTTCCCCCACCTATTGGAATTTTTCCTAAGGAAATAATGTGCAGAGTCTGTTCAGTAATCTCTGTTTTGCAATCATGTGCAAAACTAATGAGCACATGTGCAAAATTTTCCACAAGAATGTGGACCATGGCATTTTTTTAATAAGAAAAAAAATTGAAATAATCTAAATGTCCCTTAGCAGAGGGGACCAGCTCAGCAAATTGCAGAGTCCCATGGGAACCATGCAGCCAATAAAGGCCAGGGAGTTCAATACTTATCGATCGGGCAAGATGTCCACAAAGTATTGTCGATTGAATATACCAGGTTACAAAGAGGATATTGATCAGGGCTGACTAATTCAAGGCCACAGGAGCCAGACCAATGATACAGCCAGAGAAGCACCCCCAGCTGAGACAGGGTGAAGGCTGGAGACCGGGGCAGATGGCAGGTGTACACTGCCCCCAGAGGAGACACTGCTCTTTGGGTTGTAGGTGATTGAAATTTCTCTGTAGTTTTAAAAATGTGTTCCTGTACTTATCAATATTTTATAATTTTCTCCCAGTGGACAGTCAGGCATTTTTAAGAAGTTAGGCAGAGCCAGAAGAGGTGAAGATAAAGTCCAGTGGGGCCTGCAAGAGGGAGTGACCCACTAGTGACTCCTGCTGCTGAAGGGTGGGAGATGCTCACCACTGAAGGGTGGGAGAGACAGGGATGGTCCCAGAGACAAAGGTCTGGGTGTGGCCACAGAGGACAGGGCTTGCAGAAAGGCTGTTGGAGAAGTTAAGCATGGAAAGTCATCTGGGGTCACCACGCATTTCCTGAGCACTGAGACGGGGCGTAGAGAGATGGTGTGTGTCAGGTACTGTTCCAAGCCCTTGACATGCACATTTAATCCTCACAGCATTCCTACAAAGTGGTACCAAGATTCCCTCGATTTACAGATGAGGAAATTGAGGCACAGAGAGAGGTTAAGAGACCTACCTCAGGTTGCAGAGCTGGAGTTTGAGTCAAACATGATTCTAATTGGTGGTCCCAGAAAAAGGAGTTTGTTTGGGGGGCGCCACTGATACTTTTTTTTTGGCACCAGGGATTGAACTCGGGTTCTTGTGCTTGCAAGGCAGGCCACCGAACCACTGAGCTAAATCCCCAGCTGCCACTGATACTTGTGAGTCTGTTCTAGTTGCCTTTTCTTACACCTTCCTCTCATTCTTGGACAGAAACTGGCAATTACACCTGTGAATTCTGTGGCAAGCAATACAAGTACTACACGCCCTACCAGGAGCATGTGGCCTTACACGCCCCCATCAGTGAGTACTTTTTCTGGTGGGATATGGGGCATCAGCAGGTGGGGGAGGAGGCCCACGTGTGGCCAGGGCTCTGGAGTCCTCACCGGAAAGGGCAAGAGCAAGGTGAGCTCAGTCCTGGTCAGTCCAGGTGTCTGGTGTGACATCTCTTGTCCAAGACATACAGTGACCTTGTCCCCACCCCCTCTGAACACCTCCAAAGCAAGAGCTTCCTAACTGCACTCCAGGAGCCGGGGTTGTATGATGCAGCTTCAGTCTGAGTTAGTGCAGGGACTGACCCATGCCAGGGGCATGGGTGGCGAGACAAGACCGCTCCTTCTTTGCCTTCCATAGTGCAAAGCAAGGAGGTAGCAGGAGCAGCAGGCTGGGCATCTGGAGCCCTGGGTTTTAAGCCCAGCAGGCCTACAGGCTGCTGGTGAACCTTGGCAGGCCCATCCTGTCTCCAACCCACAGTCTCTGACTCCTCTCCTGGCAAGGACGCAAAAGGACTCCAAGACCTCTTCCCCCAGGGACCCTGGACCTTCCATTCTGATACCTTGGGCCTCCCTGCTGGTTTCCCACCTCCTTTTCTGCACATCAGATGGGCTCTATCCTTAGATTCCTAAGCATCCAAGCTGTGCGTACCCTCAGTCCTCCATCCCTGCCTGCTTAGGTAGAGGATCCCAAGTGCTGACAGCATCTCAGAGTAATAAGACAGGGTGTTTAGGATTGTGCTTGGGAACTTCACTGCTTAGGTTTCTCATAGAAGAGCTGTGGGATCCCACCCCCATTCTATTATTGGAAAGATGAGGTCTGGGGGCACCAGCTTCCCCCAGATTATGAGTGCCTCCAACCCGCAGTGACCTTGCATGGACCTAAATCTTTCTGAGGTCCAGCACTGGGCTAAGATTCTCATTCTGATTGGCTTTTGACTGTTGTATGACTCTATATATATGGCTTCCCTTCTGTTAGCCTACATTTCTTATCTATGAGAGTTCTTAAAGTTTTTCCAGCCCAGAGTCTGGATTCCAGACATCTCTGGCCTAAAGCAACCTTTAGGCAAGCACGTGCTATGGTCAAGTGGCCACCATAGTGCCAGGTTGTATGTGAGGAGAGAAAATAGAGAGGTTGTGTTGGGTGAGCATTGACCCATATGTTTGATTCACTCATAGTGAAAGTGCCCAGGCATCAGGGCTGTTCATGGGCAGCTGTGAACCTGTGTGCTGCAGCGAAGCCCTGCTTGCCTGCTGCTTGGTGTGAGGCTGAAATGCTACTTATGAGGCCAGCCTGCAGCCTTGGACTCAGGCTTTGGAGAGGATCTTCGGTTCTGCTTTTGTACTTTCCGGAGTAAGATAAGTAAGGTCATGAGTTGGTGAGACAGAATGTGGCTTTGAACCCTGCTAGTAAGCTCCAGGCCCATATTGTGCCATGAAGATGCCTGTACCTTCTAGGATGGTACAGCAGAGTAGGGTATCGCTTGCACCCTAATTTTTTCCGACATCCTGACGCTTCTCTCCTGGAAGCTAGTTCTCATTCTCTGTTCCTTGTTTTCTTTATTTGGTTGTGCTCTTTCTTTGTGTTTCTGCATCTGCTTGTCGAATGAATCTCTTATTACTGAAGTCTAGACCCTCTAGAAGCATCTGTGTTTAACTTAGGCTGACTGCAGAACTTCTTATAAATGGACTTTTGTGCCTGCTTCTTTCTCTCATAAAAATGTTTTTGGGACTCATACATGTTGTATGTATGAGCTCATTTATTTTTACATCTGAGCAGTATTCCATTGTATGAATTGCATATAGTTGTGTACGTTGTATACAAATTGTATGCTGTACTTTTGTTTTGTCATTTACCTGCTACTTTGGTTTTTTGCAGTTACAAGCTATTGCAAATAAAGCTGCTATGAAAATAGATGCAGGAAGCTTTTGGTGGACATATATATTCATTGTTTTTGAATAATTAACAGAATAGAATTACTGTGTATTTAACTTTTTAAGAACTGACAATTTTCCAAAATGGCCATGTCATCTTCCACTCCTACCAGCCCTGTCTGGGAGTTCCACTTACTCCATGGTCTTGCTGGTGTTTGATGGCATTGGCCTATTTAGCTCTAGCTATTCTGATGAGTGCATGGTGGTATCTCATTGTGGTTTTTGTTTCACTGATGACTAATGATGTTGAACATCATGGTGTTTGCTTGTTGTCTATTGTGTATTTTATTTTGGAAGTTATTCATCTGAGTTATTTGCCCATTTTTGGTTGGGTTGTCTTTTTCTTAAGTCATAGACATTCTTTGTACTTTCCAAAAGGTCCAGGTTCTTTGTCAGGTATATGTACTATGTATATTTTCTCCCAGTCTCTGATAGGCCTGTTGATTTTCATATAGTACTTCCTGATGAGCACATGTTTTTCATTTTTAAGAAGTTCAATTTATCATTGATTTCTATGGGTAGTACTTCCTGGATTCTATCTCAGGATGTAAAAGGTACTCTCTCTTACTATTTCTCAGAAGCTTTATAGGTAATTTAGCTTTTGCATTTCTGTCATACATTTCAAGTTAACTTTTGTAAATGATGTTTGAGTTGAGATGCGTTGTATTCCAAAGAGATACCTGGTTATTTCAATACCTTTTATCCAAGATTTCTTTTCCTATTGCAATGCATTGGTACCGTTGTTGAAAATCAGTTGAAGGTATAAGTGTGAGTTTATTTTCCATTGACCTATTTGTCTTTATTTCATTTCCGCATTGTTTTAATTTTTCAACTTTTTTTAAAAAAAGATTTGGCTCCTCTAGGAACTTTATTTTCCCACATAAATGTTAATCTTGACAATCTCTACCAAAAAATCCTGATGGGTAGCTTCCGTTGAATTGGTAGGCCAATTTGAGGAGACTGGACCATATTGGGTGTGCCAACCCATGAACATAGTATATCTCTCCAAGTACTTAGAGCTTGTTTGGTTTCTCTCAGTGATAGTTTTTGCTTTTCAGAATAGAAGCTTTTCACATAATACATTAAAGTATTTCTAAGTATTTTGTGTTTTATGATACACTGATTTCTAAATTTAATTTTCAAATTTATGTTGCTATTATGGATAAACAATTGATTTTTGTATATTGAATTTCTATGCTGCAAACTTGCAGAATTTGCTTTATAGTTCTAATAGGTTTTTGTAGAATTTTTAAGGATACTCCTTGTATATAATGTTTATTTTTCTTCCTTGATGTCTTGTTAGGGACTCTTCAATACAGTGTCAGACAGTAGAAATGAGCAGATTCTCTGCCTTCTTCCCAATCGTAGGCTTCAGTTTTTTATCTTTAAGGACTATCATTTTCATGATTCAGGTGAAGGTTTTCATAGATGCCCTTTTTATCATTTGGGGAAGTTACTTTCTATTCATACCTTACTGACGTGTATTTGGTTGGGTGGATTCTTTTATTTTGTTAGTATGGTAAATAACATCATTGAGTTTTTAAAAATAAGTCACCATGTGTATACTTTATTAAAATATACTGAGAATATCAGAAAACCAAACTCTGAAATGAAACTAAGAAATATACAACATTAGGATGTTTCTGCTTTGCCACAAAGGAATGATCTCTTTTTAAAAATCTTATACTTTTTAAGAGTATGTATTTAAGGTATGCAATTTTATGATTTGATGTATATGCATATTGTGAAATCGTCAACACGGTAAATAAAGTTCTTGCTTAGGGATCTAAGTTATTTGAAGAACCAGGGTAGTTTGTACCATTAATTTTCTATTGAAAGCATATTTTCTTCTCACTCCCACCTAAAAATTTCCAACATTTTGCTGGTTTTTATTATTACTCCCAGGACTATCCCAAGGGCAGGGAAATACAATCTAAGATTATTGGAGTGCCCCATATTCAGTCAATGGTATGTTGACAATGGTGGGAGCCAAGGAAATAAATTTCAAGTCTGGTTTTTTTAAACACCGTTATAAGACATATCATCATTTAATAAAGAGCCTTTTATTAAAAGGTACACTTCAACCCATGTGCATACCCATGAAACCATTATCTATCACCCACAGCTGTTTCCTTGTACTCTCTTGTAATCCCTTGTTTCTCACCTCTTGGCAGACACTGGTCTGCTTTATATTACTGTAGATTAGTTTGCATTCTCTAGAACGTCACATGTATGGAATCTTACAGTATGTGTTCTTTTTTGTTGGAGGGAATCTGGCATTTATTTGGCATAATTGTTTTGGGATCATCCATGTTTGCATGTATCAATAGTTCATTCCTTTTTAAATAATGAATACATTCATTATTTAATGCATTTAATGCATTGCTTAATGACGAAGACACATTCTATCATGTGCATTGTTGGGTGGTTTTGTTGATGAGACATCAGAGAGTATACTTACACAAGCTGGGACAGCGTGACACCATTAGGTAAAATAATCTACCGTTGTCTGTGTAGTCTGTTGTTGGCTGAAGGATCATTAAGTGACGCATGGCCAGTAGTATGGCGTTGTCTGTGTATACCTTTGTCTGCTTGCTTATGGATGTACATTTGGATTGTCTTCCAGTTTTGAACTAATACAAATCAGAACTACTATGAATATTTGTATATAGAGTGGGAGAACTGGATCATATGGAAGATATATATTTAATTTTAAGAATAGCCCAAATGCTTTCCAAAGTGTTTATGCCACTTTGAGTTCCAGCCAACAGGAAACTTCTCATGATGTCCTTGTCTTCATTGCATGTCACAGTAATGCTGCCCTCATAGAATGAGTTGGAAAGAGAATTTCTGTCTTCAATTTTCTGAAGAATTTGTGTAGTATTGGTAGCATTTTCCATAAATTCTCTAGAAGTTAACAGTAAATCCGTCAAGGCTAGGATTTTCTTTGTGAGAAAAACTAGATAATATATTCCATTTCCAAATATTTGTGAATTTTTCAGTTTTTAAAAATTGATTTCTAATGTAATTCCATTGTGGTCAGAGTACATATTCTGTATGAGTTTTAATCTTTGAAATCTACTGAGATGTGTTTTA